AGGCAATAAAAAAAATTAATAAAAAAAAAAATTAAAAATGACTTGAAGAGATAGAAATTTTATAAATAAATGGATAGAACTTATTTAAAAATTAATATTTTCAGCTAATAATTAAAAACCATATTTATTTTGTAAATACTGTTTTAATATTATCATTTATTAAATATAATTTACAATTGTGTCATGTACAATTTTCTTTTTCACTAAACAATACAAATCACTAATATTTATATGATTTTTAAATTTTAAATATATGTGTTTAGTGATAATGAATTAATGTAATTGATTTAATTCACCTTTAATTAACAAATAAAATTTTGCATACATTATTAGCCATGTAGTAGTAAGGAGAATATTCTTTAAGCACATAATTTTGATTGCATTCTACTTTCATTACGTTAGTATTAATTGATATAAAGTTTCCGTTATCGACGTCGAATGTCGTTCAATTATTTGTAGGTTTCCCTTAATACAGATAATATATTTATAATACTATATATAATACAAAATTATAAAATTATTAACATGGAATAAGTAGTTTATTATGAGAAAAAAAATTGAGAAATACTTACGTTTACATGAATGAGAATTACCTCCAGTCCAATTTTTATTAATGCAATTTACTTCAAAATACTAAAAAAAACATTTTTATAAATAATGATTTTTTAATGCATTGAATTTTTTATTTATAATAGAAAGGTAATATATAAATTTGTAAAATTTGCAAAAAAATTTTGACAAATTACAATATTATAATTATTTTGAACTTACTTGGGGTGATTCATTCGGTTTGTTATAGTAATAACCGAATTTGCAGAATAGTAGAGCACGATCACCATCATTATAGAATGTAACATTTGCATTTTTATACTTAAACGGAGGACAGTTGAATGTTGTTGTTAATTTACAAAACCTATCTTTGATGTCGATGAAATTTTCATTCTGACACACTAATGCGTTAGATTTTCCAATCAGTGTATAATTTTCCTCGCAACTGAAAGTTACAAATTTAAAATTGACTTCATTAATTATAATCTTTGTCGATCCATTGAAATTCCCTGTATTTATTACACAATCATCTAAAAAAGAATTATAAAAGATATTATTCTATAGAAGGGTAGAATGATTGACTTTAAACACTCATGCATACCTACAAGCAGTATGGAATCATTTTTACGGTATAGTTCTATAAACGAAAGAAGAAAATTAAATTAAATTTGGCACAAAGTTATTTTTTTGCAACACTAACCTCTAAAGGTAAATTTTACACACCGAAAAGTGTGTGTAAAGAAGCTCTTTTTAAAACGGTGTCCCCAGTAAAAAAAAAAATTAGGAGTAAGCGAAAAGAATTGGTGGTAACTTAAGCTGAATGCGGTTTGGCGAAGAAACCGAATTGGAACGTTACGGTGAATTATTTTTTTCTTACCGTGAATTCTTTTTCCTTAAACATTTGAATTGACGTTTGTTTATTCGAGTTTGCATTATAAATGAATAAAATAAATGCTTCGAAGTCTAAAAAAGCCGATTTTGAATAAGAAATATATAATTTAAAAAAAATAAATGAAAGCGAAGTGTGACAGATTCACCGACGATTTGATCAAGTGAGTAGTGTTCATATCGCTGGGTTAGTGGAAAAAAAGGATACGTCCGTTTGATTTAACTATGACGTGTCCTTTTTTTCCAATAACCCAGCGATATGATAAATTTACCATATGAGTAGTACTCATATGGTAAAATTGTCGGTGAATCTGTCACACTTCGCTTTCATTTATTTTTTTTAAATTATATATTTCTTATTCAAAATCGGCTTTTTTAGACTTCGAAGCATTTATTTTATTCATTTATAATGCAAACTCGAATAAACAAACGTCAATTCAAATTTTTAAGGAAAAAGAATTCACGGTAAGAAAAAAATAATTCACCGTAATGTTCCAATAATATTTTTCCTGATCTTCGCAGAGAAAAAAAGGTGGGTAAAAAGTTATAAAAATAGAGGATAAAAGTCGTTAGGATACAGGGTAAAGGATAAATTTGTGATGGATAAAAATGTTACAAAAATATGACTAAAAAAAATGGATGTCATATTTGAGTAAACTGTCTAATTTTAATAAAAATATTAGTAATTTTACACTTAACTTATTAAATCCACAAATTTTATATAAATAAGTAATTGCACGTGGAAATATTTTTCCTATAATTATTGTCTATTAATAAAAATATCTTTGACTAATACAACTGACAGCTGACGACAGTGCGTAAATAATCAGAACTGGGAAATTACAACTCAACATCTATATTGTTGCACGAAAGCAGAGTTGGGTAGTAACTGAATTTTTTGTGCATATTAGGCTCTGTCACTTGTGACATCAGAGTCGATTCTAGGTGTGACGTCAGAAGCCTGGAGGGACAACAAACAGACGACACAATGTTATTCTTATGGGGAAGAAAATTAGTTTCCACTTTCATCAATTTTATTCATACTTTGAACATGGAAAACGCTTGTTGACATATAATAAAATTAAAATGTGTGTTGATAATTAATTTTGTTATATATTTGATTTAATTGTATTGATAGATTCTCTTAATTCGTGATAAAATATAAATTTTGAGGTTAGGGGTGTTTGTTTACTAACTTGAAACCTTTTACTGCTGCGGTAAATTCCCACTTAAAATATATATTTTATATCTTTTTTAATAACATGCATAATGGATATTGTTTAATAATGTTAAAATGTAAAATGCGATTAGTAAACAAACTTTTCTAACCTTAATAGGGTAACTGCACCAGTGGTGGATCAGTTAAGCCCCTTAACTTTCTTATTTTGACTTTGAAGTTCTGTATAGGTTGCTTTTAGACAAATTCGAGGTTATTCTTTAAAGTATTATGGACCAGATAGTTCCAATAGACAGTTCCTTCCAGGTTAGACTTGATTTTGACACCTACGTTTACTTTAATGCTCCATCAAAGATAATTTGTCAATGATCCTATTCTGGATCACTGTTTGCACCAGTCATGGTTATAGATTGCTCCAGTGGTGGATCACTTAAAAAATCATACTAAAAAACATTGCATTTCAAAATTACGAGACTGAGACGTTTTGCAACTTTTATAAGGCTTTACGGACAGACCCAGTCGAAAATCGTAAGTTTCCCTGAAGGGTTCACATGGCCTTCAGGTAACTGTTATGAAGGTTTCAAAAGCTTCATGGCAACTATTTATACTACTTCGTGATTTATACATTAGACCTAAAATTCTGTGATATTTGCTTTCTGACTTCTTAACGGGAAGCTTTTTCTACAGCTTGTTGAATATCTGTGGACAGCTTCTAGCAAAAGGTCTACCAGTTTGCTTGGTGAATGCTTTCCTAATGCCTGGTTTAATGTGTAAGAAAGCAATTCTATTTGCTTTTCACAAGTTGCAAATTAATATGTAATTTAATTACCTTTTTTACACTTCCTGAAAACTAGAATAATTTCATTAAATTAAACTAAATCGAAAAATCATAAAAATTCTATAGTAATTTGTAAATCCGTTTTATACAATTAATAATTATTCTTTATATATTATATAAAAATTATTTTTCAAAGAAAACGTTTATTTTTAAACACTTAAATTATATATAACTTGAGCAAAATTTGGGGTTAGGAATACGAACACGGTGAAAACCTTTTATTTTGAATAATGAATACAATTTCTTAAAAAAAGACAAAATATTTAATATTTAAAAAAAATAGATTATTATTTTTATACTTGATATTTATGAATATTTTTTATAAATAATATATTCTTTATTCTTTTAGAATTTCATAATTTATGAAAATGAATTTAACAGCGTATTTTTATTTACAAATTTTTAAAAGTATTCTACATGAAACATTAAATTATTAATCAATATTAATTGTGTAATTTCACTATAGAAAATTAATTGACAACTAACTTTTAATTGAAAGAAGATAATAATTAATTTAAAAAAAAGTATTTAATATCACTAATAGATATTTTATAAAACAATTGTACCCTTTTAAAAAGACTGTGGAAATACCGAGTCTGACGTAAATAATTTTTCTTTAATTCTTCAATATTTAAATATAATAATCTAGTACATCATATTTTTACGAGATAAATAAAGATGGAAAGAAAGGTTAAATTTAATTTTTGATCATTGTCATTTTTCCTCTGTTTCCTGAAACATCCATGACGCTTCATTTAATTTTCGCCACCTGAACGCTTTCTTTTTATATATGCAAAATCCTGCAACTCTTTGATAACTCTCTTAAAGCTACTTGAATGCTTTGTTTAAAACGTACAAAATTTGTTATTTTCAAGCTTTCCGTGGAAGCGAAAAATCGGCCATAACAGGCTTCCTGAAAGTTTTCTATAGCTAGTTATCTACTGTCTCACAATTCTCTAATGGTTATCTCAATACTTCAAAACAACTTTTTGTTCAGCTTAACATAGCGTAGGATTTTCGACTGGGGATTTTCAAATTCACTTTCCTATCCATATCCTTTCCTCTTTCATTTCTATAGGTATAATGTGACTAAATGTTAATTAATCATCTTTTTATTAGAATTTTTGGTATTAAATAAATAGAAACTCTTAAAGCTTCAGTTTCAATGATAAATAACATTTATTAATTCTGGGTATTTTAATTCAACAAAAATTTAACAATTTGAAATCAGGTGTTAACAATTAATAAACATCTGAATTAGTGTTAACTAAAATTTAACTCATAAAATTTTCAATAAAACAATGCGTCAACAGGCGAAAAGTAGGACTGATCCACCACTAGATTTTGTTACTTTTTTGGTTCCAGTCGTGGATCACCCTAAAACAATGGATACGCGCTATTTAAAGACGTAAATATTGTTCTCAGGGCTCTATGGGGATGAAACGAAATGCCTCCTATTGTGAAAAGAATTAAAAATTGTTCTAAAATGGCTCCAAAGCTTTCTATTCCAAAATATACTCTTAACTTACATGCTAAGGAAAACTCTTGTTTTCTGTCACCACTATAGTAATTGTTGTCCTGCTTTCTTCGCGATGAATTTAAAAAATTTTTTAAATTGTAATATTGATCTGTATAACTTTCTTAACAATTACCGACACTTGCGGTTCATTTACTTACAAACGTGTAAACACAAATGACCATTTTTCTCGCAGTTGATCCACCACTGGTGCAGTTACCCTATTTATATTTTATCACGAATTAAGAGAATCTATCAATGCAATTGAATCAAATATATAACAAAATTAATTATCAACACACATTTTAATTTTATTATATGTCAACAAGCGTTTTCCGTGTTTAAAGTATGAATAAAATTGATGAAAGTGGAAACTAATTTTCTTCCCCATAAGAATAACATTGTGTCGTCTGTTTGTTGTCCCTCCAGGCCTCTGACGTCATATATTGAACTCGAAATATCTCGATGAACTGACAGCCTAATATGCACAAAAAATTCAGTTACTACCGAACTCTGCTTTCGTGCAACAATATAGATGTTGAGTTGTAATTTCCCAGTTCTGATTATTTACGCACTGTCGTCAGCTGTCAGTTGTATTAGTCAAAGATATTTTTATTAATAGACAATAATTATAGGAAAAATATTTCCACGTGCAATTACTTATTTATATAAAATTTGTGGATTTAATAAGTTAAGTGTAAAATTACTAATATTTTTATTAAAATTAGACAGTTAAGGCTGCAGTCCCATGGCAGCGTTTTGCGTTGCGTTTTGTCACTAGACCATGAGTGTAAAAGAGATGCAGATATATGTTTGCTATGTTCACACTCAGGGTCTAGTGACAAAACGCAACGCAAAACGCTGCCATGGGACTGCAGCCTTACTCAAATATGACATCCATTTTTCTAGTAATTTTATCCTTTACCCTGTATCCTAACGACTTTTATCCTCTATCTTTATAACTTTTTACCCACCTTTTTTTCTGTGTAGAAAAATATCGTGGCGCTATGATGGCACCATCCTAGTTTTCCGTGACACTGTAAAGGCCTAAGCAGAATAGATTCTTGAACGGGAACGCAATCGTAAACGGAAACGTAAGAATGAGTAAGAGAAGGATAACAAATATCTTTATTCTTTTCTCACTCATTCTTACGTTTCCGTTCACGGTTGCGTTCCCGTTCAAGAATCTATTCTGCTTTGGCCTTAATGGCTCTAGGCCCATTCCTCACAATTTTGTATTCTAGCCACTAGCTAGTATTGCGGGAATGGTGATGTTGAAAAATTACAATTAAATTTTTTAAAAATAATTTTCAACATTACAACATATATTTCCATTAAATTTTCTTAATTAGAAACCACATAAAATTCCATAAATTACCCTATAAATTTAGAAAATTAGTTTTAAAAATTTTTTTTTATATATTATAAATTACCTTCAAAATTTCATAAATTACCATAAATTACCTTATAAATTTCCACCATTAGTTTTTCAAATTTTTCTTTTATATATTATAAATTACCGTATAAATTTCATAAATTACCTCATAAATTTCCATAAATTACCAAATAAATTTTCTGCATTATGTGCAATCGCTAGGCTAGACTGCCATCACGCCAGTGGTGGCGCTAGCTATAGCTAGACTTCGACGATTTTTTTAATTCTATACAATCGAAATTATTCTCGCATAGAGAGTTGGAATTCTTCATAATAGGTACTTAACTTTAGAGGTGAATGTTGCAAAAAATATTGTATGATACACGTGCGTAAATTTGATCTCACTCACTTTACGCAATTGTATCATAAATAACTATTTCATTTCTGAATTCTAACAATTTAAAAATGTTCAACCAAATAATTTTGTTGGCTTAACCAAATGTTTGGTTGAGATAACTCTACGATTTTGTTCCAGCCAACCAAAATTTGGTTACAAGAACCAAAATCGCCTAACCAAACAATTTTGTTGCAAACACTAAATTTTTTTTCTCAGTGCATTAATTATTATTAATTATATTTCATATACATATATGCATTTAAACAAATTTTTAAGGAATGTTTGTGTAAAACGTTGCGTAAGTTTAAAGAGTATTTTTCACTCTTTCCCTGGAGGATCTCGAAATCGGAATGTTCGCTGAATTCGTTGTACATTCGTTACACATTGGTTAAACATTTAGTTGGAGTGAAAATTGTGTAGAAACTGAGTGGAAACTGTGGAAAAGTGTAATTGAATTGAATAATAAAAGTATTTAGTGATAGATTTGTGCTGTATTTGTGATAAATTAACGTGTTATTATTAAATAAATAAAGTTTAAAGTGTAAAATGTTCGCGTAAGTGAGTTTGACAGGCTAGGGAATTTTCTAGTGACATCCAAATTGATAGTCGATAAAGAAGTTGAGCCGCCGACTTTGCACGGTAGGTGGCAGCATTCATACTTTCTCCTCTTTAAAAATTCTCTTTTTCAATTGTAAATAGAAAAATTAATTAATTAATAAGTTATATAGTTTCTATGTTGTCATTGTTTTTAACAATTGATGTCACTAGAAAATTCCCTAGCCTGTCAAACTCACTTACGCGAACATTTTACGCTTTAAACTTTATTTATTTACTAATAACACGTTAATTTATCACAAATACAGAACAAATCTATCACTAAATACTTTTATTATTCAATTCAATTACACTTTTCCACAGTTTCCACTCAGTTTCTACACAATTTTCACTCCAACTAAATGTTTAACCAATGTGTAACGAATGTACAACGAATTCAGCGTACATTCTGATTTCGAGATCCGCCAGGGTTGTTAATCCGTAGTGGATAAAGATAAAGAATAAAGTAGAAAATCTCTATTTCAGCATGACTTAAATTTATTTTATTGAATTAAAACTTCACGAAACTTTTATTGCGTTTCAATCTCATCTTAAAAATCAGTACAGTTTTAATTTCATTTTATACACCATTTTAAATTTTATGAAAAATGAATTAAAAGAGAAATACAGACTTATCTACCTATTCTATGCGTGGAATTAAAAAAAGAGGCAATTTTCCGAATTAAATTTTTAAATTCCATTCAATTCTAGCATTTTTACCGGGCCCTTAAATTTGTTAATTTCTTTCCCTAACCGCCCTTTGAAAGATTATAAAAAGATTGGACAGTAATCGAAACATACATACCTGTTTTATTAGGTACAATTTTTTTAGCTTGTACATTCAAAATAAAGAGTGCAATACAAATCACGAAAATCCATTTATTTATATTAACATAAATCATTTTTATTACTTCTGTTGATCTTCTTTTTTACTTTCTGTTAATCTGTTGAATTTTAATTTGAAGCAACTGTATGGAAGAAAAAATGCATTTATATACAATACGACTAAGAAAAATAAAAATTTATGAATAGAAAAAAATAATTAATAATAAATAAATAATAATAAATAATTAAAATAAAAACATTGATACTTTAGATTTGGCTAAAAATTTTCATCTTTTTGTACTATACAAAAAAGGGATCCATGCTTTTTTTTTAATTACCCGAGCAGAAAATTTGACCGAGCCCTGGTCGTGCCCAGACCAGGTACGACCGGGGCCAGATCTAGCAACCTGATCTGGGCTCAATCAAAATGAATCAGGGAACTCGACCGGGGCGATGCCAATTTGCCTTATCTGGAATCATAATCGGGACCCGACCAGGGCCATAGTAATTTTCCCGATTTTATAGTAATTGTAATTTTCAATAAATTATAATTATTTATCTATAATTGATAAATAAAACAATAAAATTATTCAATATTATTTTATTTTATGAATCTGCATTTAAAAAAACACCTTATAAAATGAAAATTTCCCAAAGTTGAAAAAAATTATTTGAATAATTGTTTCGTTTACTCTCTAAATCTGAATTAGTAAAAATGTTTACTACTTTAAATTAGTGACTCACTTTTTGCTTATGAATTAGTAAAATTTTACTAACACAGGCACACAAAAAAAATTGTATGTTTCTTGAACTAGACATATATTTCCTATAGTATTTTGGCCCGCTGAAACCGAATCTGAGCTCAGAATTGCTCCATCACCCTCCGTTTTTTTTTAAATCGACCAAAACCACCCTTAAACGGACAAATTCACACTTCGGAGATAAAAATAAAATCAACTTATTTTTTTAAAAAACTGAATTTTACATCTACGAAACTTTGCTCCACTAACTCAAAAACAAAACCAGCATTGATCCAGCAACCCCTGAATTTTTTTAAATCGAAAAAACTACCCCTAATCTGAAGAATCAAATTCAGGAGGTAAAACAATAAAATAACTGATTAAAAAATTTTATAACCAGGTATTTTTACTCCAGCAAGGCAAATTTTTGTTTCTGCCTTGCTAGAGTAAAAATACCTATGGTTATAAAATTTTTTAATCAGTTATTTTATTGTTTTACCTCCTGAATTTGATTCTTCAGATTAGGGGTAGTTTTTTCGATTTAAAAAAATTCAGGGGTTGCTGGATCAATGCTGGCTTTGTTTTTGAGTTAGTGGAGCAAAGTTTCGTAGATGTAAAATTCAGTTTTTTAAAAAAATAAGTTGATTTTATTTTTATCTCCGAAGTGTGAATTTGTCCGTTTAAGGGTGGTTTTGGTCGATTTAAAAAAAACGGAGGGTGATGGAGCAATTCTGAGCTCAGATTCGGTTTCAGCGGGCCAAAAAACTATAGGAAATATATGTCTAGTTCAAGAAACATATACAATAAATACATATTACTCTGCGCCTTGTTTTACACACGGAAAAAAAGAAAAAGTAACTTTTACTACTTTAAAAGTAAAATTGGACCTGTCCGAAGTTTCTGCGCATCTCTGGCAACTTGTACTCCAAAAATAGTAAAATTTACTTCAGAAATAGTAAAAATTACTACGGAAACAGTAAAATTTACTACAGAAATAGTCAATTTTACTATTTTTCGAGTTAAAGTTGCCAGAGATGCGCAGAAACTTCGGACAGGTCCAATTTTACTTTTAAAGTAGTAAAAGTTACTTTATTCGTTTTTCCATTTTTCTCCGTGCAGTGTACAAGAGGTGTTGGAGATTAATTTACAGTTTTAAAATTAAGTTCAACGTCAATATTTTAACCTCAGAGATCACCTGCAAGAGGTTTTTATTATTGCCAAGCTTTTATCTTGACAATTTGGCAGCAAGATAATACAGTAATATACTTAAGGGTATGTGAGAACCTCCCACGTGACCTAGTATGGAAAAATGTGTTTTGGTAATATACGTCTTACTCTAAAATGAAAAAAGATTTTTGTCTAAAATTTTGAGGGATAATAGATTTGGGTTCTCCGAAAAATACATAATTTTATGTTAAATTATTAAAAAATGAAGTTTAAAACGATGGCTGGGTGTAAAAACATGATACATCGAATTGGCGTTGAAAAACATGATACGTCGGATTAGCGTTGGAAAACATGACATATCGTCGTTTGATTTGAAGAACATGACACGTCGAAAACAATATTTTTCTTTTCAAATTTCTGTTGGTACCACTGACCGCGAAATTTAAAATGGTTTGTTATATATTACATTTTTTAAGAATAATGATATTAAAATCATAGAAGTAAAATCTTGCACTATGCACATATAATTTTGAATTTTTTACATGAAATTCGTTTTAAATCAACGGGATTACAATACTGTATTTAAATGGTCGTCTGTATTATTAATTACTTTTACAGCTGTATGATAACGTCATGGGTGGCAAATCCTCCAGGAAATGAATAATTGGAGGATTTACTAGAAAAATTTATCTAAGTTAATTTAATTTATTTAATAATTGTGTTTTAAAAAATATGCTTTACTTACTCTCCATGATTGACTCTTCAAAAAAATATTTAAACAACACCAATTGTAATAGAATTTTTACAATATACATATTTATAATAAAATAGAATTATTTATAAAATCACAGATTTTATCAATCTAAATATAAACTATATAAAAAGCTATTTAACCTAATTTTTCTTTGAACTGACATATTATGAAGCAAAATCATTTGTTTCATAAAACAGTTTTAAAGATTTGACACATTTTAAATTTCACTGTCAGTGGTACCAACAGAAATTTGAAAAAAAAATTTCGTTTTCGACCAGTCATGTTCTTCAAATCAAACGACGATGTATTATGTTTTCCAACGCTAATCCGACGTATCATGTTTTTCAACGCCAATTCGATGTATCATGTTTTTACACCCAGCCATCGAAAAAGTGGCATTTTTAAACAAAAATAAAAACAAACATGGCGGCGCATACACAGACGTTGCTTGAGTGTGTCAGTGCTCCAGTAAACAGCGCCAATTCGAGAAAGTGGCCGCTGAATAAACATATGCTATAATACATTATTTTACTATTTATTGCTTTATTTTTATTATTTTTGCGTTATGTCATAGTAAATGTGAAGAACAGCGAGATTTCTTGCACCAAACGAAATCATTTTTCCAAAATTTTAACCCGAAATAATTTTTTATTTTAGAGAAAGTTTCAAACAATAAAAAACGTCCTTTGACTACATACCCTTAATGATAGAACGTCCAACGTCCTTCCTGCAGGATGAAAAAGACTCAGGTGAGTCCCTCCGAAATCGCTTTCTAAAATTAACTTGGATTGAGATAAACACAAAAAAATATATATGGTTTGAAAGGTAAAGATACAAGCTTTCAGCGCATGTAAAAATTAAATTTCTAAATTCAAACCCCAAGGCTAGGCAACTTAAAGAAGTTAAATTTTTGTAAAACTGACCTAATGTTTAGTGCTAGATCGTCGACGCCCGGTCCTGCCGGCAGGACACTTTTTCAGTTTATTGATACGATTACCCAGCCCTGATATTTAAATTTAGAAACTTGATATTTACATGATCTGATAGCTTTTTTAATTACCTTTCGAACCATATATATTTTTTTATGTTTATCTGAATCCATATTAATTTTATAATGTTTTTTCGGAAAGACTCTCATCTGAGTCTTTTTCATCCGTCCGCAATTGCGCTGGATACAAATCTTTATACATAGTGTTATAATAATAATACAAACAAAATTCAAGATTAAAAAAATATATAATGCAGAAAATTTATTTGGTAATTTATGGAAATTTATTTGGTAATTTATGGAAATTTATGAGGTAATTTATGAAATTTTGAGGTAATTTATAATTATAATACAAACAAAAATTCAAGATTCAAAAACTATTGCAGAAAATTTACGTGGTAATTTTTGGAAATTTATGCGGTAATTTATGAAATTTTTGAGGTAATTTATAATTGTAATACAAACAAAATTTAAGATTTAAAAATTATTGCAGGAAATTTATGCGGTAATTTATGAAATTTATACGGTAATTTATGAAATTTATGCGGGAATTTATAATATCTAAAAGAAAAATTTGAAAACTAATTTTGGGAATTTATAGGGTAATTTATGGTAATTTATGAAATTTTTAAGGTAATTTATAATATATAAAATTTTATATGGTAATTTAAGAAAATTTAATGGAAATATATGTTTTAAATAAAGTGCGTCCTGCCGGCAGGATGACGGAACATCCTGCCGGCAGGATGGCGCAATGTGCGGAGAAGCATCCTGCCGGCAGTACGCAGCGGCTTGTCCAAGCGTCCTGCCGGAAGACCCTTCCAGCAGGATGGGCGCTTGGACGTTCTATCATTAAGGAAACTTTTTTCTTAAATCTTTCTTAGAAACTATGCTGTCCGTTTCATGCATTTAAAGCATATGTAAATTATTTTCTGCTGCATAAAATTAATTCTGGGAATGTAAATGACAACTTAAAAAAAATAAACCTGCAAATATTACCTTTTAAAGGAAGAAACTTACGTAATTTGTGAAAAATAGCGATTTTGTCCCCATTTACCCCAACTGACCCTAAGTACGTTTTTATTGCAGAATTTAAAATTCAAAAATATGGTACTTTAATATTTTTGTATTATTAATTTTAATTGAATATATTTAACGCACCTTTATTATTCACAAATCTTTAAAGATGTCTTAAAAAACTGTTTATTTGGCTGTCAACAATTAAAAAAATTATTTTTTTTTGTATGTTATTATACTTATTATACTGATTTAAAATTGTTACATGAAGTTTTATACTATTTTAAAATAAATTGAAATACTATATGAAATAATTCCAAACCTTGTCTTTTTATATGCACTAATAATGATAATAATAATGTAAAATTATATCAAATAACATTTTTAATCAATTATTTACATAGCTAAGTAAATAATTCTAAATGGGGGGGGGGAAGGTCAAATTCAAGGTGAAATATGTCGAAGCGCCAATTTTCA